TGATCTTTTAAAAATTAATATTTGATCAGGTCACTGTTGCTTAAACCCACTCAGTAACTCTGTTCTTCTTTGGCTAAAGTTCAAATGTTTTGACATTATTTTTAAAATGTTCCATTTTCTTTGAAAGATTCCTGATCTTGATTTATTTCTTAAAACTCTCACCTTCTGTATTTTCCAACGAGAAACTTCAATGTGCTGTGTATCCAAACTAACTTCCAAACATTTGCTAGTGCTACTGCTTTCCTTCCATTTCACATCTCCTCCTGTATCTCCTCCCTCCCTTTTACTGCTAGATCTTGCTTAAGATTTCACCAAATATATATAAATATGTATGTGCAGAAAATAACTTCATCTTCTCAACATCAAATCTATCAACCCACCTGAATATGTACTTGTATTCTCTGACATTCCTCTTTCTGTATACATAAGGTGTCCTCACTCCTGTTCAAGGATAACCTTTTCGCTTTTGGATCAAGTCTTCTCCAGGATTTGATATAAAAGGACATTGATCCTATTCTTACCCCTTCCTTACTGCTCACAGCTTTTAAAATTATCCAGTTTATCCTATATCTACCTTTCTAGCTCTATCTCTTAATATGCACCCAATTTTCAAACCTTTTCAAATCCCTTACTATCTCAAGTGTCTTTGCTTATGGTTTGTTTGGTTTGGTTTGGTATGCCCTTCTTCTTGCTCATTTATCATCTAACTTTTCATTCCTCAAGATTCTCTTGTACTGCCTCTACCATTGAAAGGTCCCCTGGCATACCTGTCTGTGTTGGATGATGCTCCTGTGTACTTCCAGTGCACCCGTACATACCTGTCTTATAGTTTCCATTATGTTGTGTTGAGCCATTTAAGATAGAGAGCTGATTTAAGGGCAGACACTGTATTTTATTAATCTTTGTAATCCAGTAGAGAGATAGTGAGTGAGTGAGTGAGTGAGTGAGGAGGGCAGATATTTGGGATCATATGTAAAATGTTCTTGGGAATAAAGGATAGGGTTGCACAAGTGACTGGAATGGTGGATGGTTGATTGGGAAGGATTCAGACTCCTCCCGCCCCCATATAGCTAAAGTTAAAAGTGAGTCATTGTAAAAATGGTGTGATAGAGGTGTCTGACCTTCTCTACCTTCATAAGTCCAAGGCTGATCCCCAAGAAAAGGAAGTTAGACATGCCTTCACCCTTCAACCCTTTAACCAACTCTGACACCAACCTTCCTTCCCAAGACATTCTCTACTGCTCTGCTGGGTAGGATAATTTATTACAATGGCCTCGCAGAACTCACAGACAAGACTCACAATTATAGGGTTTATTAGGGAAGTGGTAGTGGTGTTGGTACTGTGCTGTCTAGTCAGTTCTGACTCATAGTGACCCTGTAGAGGATTTCCAAGGCTGTAAATTTTTACTGGAGAAGAAAGCCTCATCATTCTCCTATGGAGCAGCTGGTAGATTCAAACTACTGACCTTGCAGTTAGTAGAGAAGTAACAGGTTACAATTCAGGAGGATGTTTTAAAATTAAGAAAGGTGTGAGACAAGGTTGTATTCTTTCACCATACTTATTCAACCTGTATGCTAAGCAAATAATACGAGAAGCTGGGTTCTATGAAGAAAAATGTGGCATCAGGATTGGAGGAAGACTCATTAACAACCTGCAATATGCAGATAATACAAACTTGCTTGCTGAAAATGAAGAGGACTTAAAACATTTACTGATGAAGATCAAAGAGCACAGCCTTTGATATTGATTACATCTCAATGTAAAGAAAACAAAAATCTTCACCACTGGATCAATAAACAACATTCTTATCAACGGAGAAAAGATTGAAGTTGTCAAGGACTTCATTCTTCTTGCATCAACTATCAATACTCATGGAAGCAGCAGTCAAGAGATCAGACGACGTATTGCATTAGGCAACTCTGCTGCACAGGAACTTTTTAAAGTGTTGAAGAGCAAAGATGTCAGCTTGAGGACTAAGGTGCGCCTGACCCAAGCCATGGTATTTTCAATAACCTCATATGCATGTGAAAGCTGGGCAGTGAATAAGGAAGATTGTAGAATAATTGATGCCTTTGAATTTTGGTGTTGGAGGAGACTACTAAAAGTGCTATGGGCTGCCAAAAGAACCAATAGATCTGTTTTGGAAGAAGTGCAGCCTGAGTGCTCCTTAGAGGCTAAGATGACCAAACTTCGTCTCTCATACTTTGGACATATTGTCAGGAGGGAACAGTCGCTAGAGAAGGATATCATGCTTGGTAAGATGGAGGGTCAGAGAAAAAGAGCCCCAACGAGATGGATTGGCCAGGTGGCAGCATCGATGGACTCAAGTGTGGCAACTGTAGTGAGATTGGCCCAGGATCAGACATTGTTTCGATCAGCTGTGCATAGGGTCGCTGTGAGTCGGTTCAGACTCGATGGCACCTGACAACAACAACAACGACTCAGGATACAGTTCTTCAATCAGCAGTGCCCACAAGCATGTCTCTCTGACTGACTCTTGGCTTCTCAGTCCTTTGGCCTCTGCCCTGCTTAGACAAGTGTGACAAAGTTCCCTTAGTTCTTGTGGTAAGTGCTCATAGCACCTCATTCCTTCATCAAACCTACTTCTTGAAGGCACTCAATTTACTCAAGTGAGGCTAGCTCCTCCCATAAATACCTGGAGGCACCCAGTTAGCAAGCCTCCTGCCCAAATGCACTAAGCTTACTTGATATGTGGCCTTGGAAGCCTAAAACTGTCTTGTGCCTCTGGGATCACTGTTTCTCTGTTGATAGGTCATTGTTTCTCTGTTGATAATTCTCGTTGTCTCCTGCCTTTTCTGGAGACTTGGTGTAGCACTGTATGATAAGCACTGGACAACAAAGTCGGTTTGAACCACAAAGTCGGCAGTTTAAACCCACCAGCTGCTCTTTGGAAACCCTATACAGGGTCGCTAAGAATCAGAACAGACTTGGAGTCACTTAACCACAATAACTTGCCTTTTCTGGTGTAACAGCTCTGTGTCTCCTGGATTAGGTGGTTCTCAGTGTAGGGATTCCGTCCAAATGATGCACTTCACTCCTGGCTCTTCTTTTTCTGCCAGCGGTTGTGAAATCCCCCCTTCTCCCTTCCTGTGGGGTGGCTGGCTCATTTTAAGCCTAACAGATGGCAAAATGGACCCATCCCTACTTTAGGGTTTTATGCACCTTAAATGAGCTCTGGTTACGAATAGGGCTGAGAACCTCAGGGTCACCAGTTCGAAAATACCAGCTGTTCCGCAGAAGAAAGATGAGGCTTTCTGCTCCTGTAAAGATTTACAGCCTTGGAAACCCTCTTCAGGGTAGCTATTGGTCGGAACCGACTCAACGGCACTTAACAACAACAACAACAACAACAACAACAACAACAACACCGCACACAAGGAGTCCTGGTGTGGCGCTGTGGGCTATGGCGCCAGACTGCAAAGTCGTTTCAACTGCAAGGTTGGTGGTACAAGCTCACCAGCTTCTCCTTGGAAACCCAATACAGGGTCGCTATGGGTCGGAATCAACAAACGCACACAAAGAGTCTTGGTATGGAGCTATGGTGGTAGTGGTGGTGTGCCGTGGAGTCGGTTCTGACTCATAGAGACCCTGTACAGGATTTCTGAGGCTGTAAATCTTTACGGGAGCAGAAAGCTTCATCTTTCGAACTGCTGACCTTGAGGTTAGCAGCCCAATCCATAACCACTACGCTCTTGGTGTGGCGCTGTGGGTTAATGCTGCAGACTGCAAAGCCGTTTGAACTGCAAAGTCGGTGGTTCAAGCTCACCAGCTGCTCCTCGGAAACCTTATATAGGGTCGCTATGGGTCATAGCCGACTTGACGGCACTTAACAACAACAACCACAACGCTACCAGAGGATAAGCAATAGACTGTTAACCGCAAGGTCACCGATTCAAACTCACTAGCTGCTCTTCTGAAACACGGTCGGTCGCCATGAATCCGAACACAACAACAATCAGCAGTTCTGGCGTGGCGCAGTAGGATAAGAAGTGGACTGCTAACCGAAAGGAGTTGGAATCGACTTTACTGCACTTAACTAAACAACAAATACAACCATGTGGTGGAAGTCACAAAACTTATATCTAGGAAGGCCCTGTTGAGTAATCCACTGCACTACAGTCATTGAATAAGATAGTTACGGAAACGTTGTCAGAGATAGACGAAGCAAGAATGTCAAGCATCTCTACACTGCTATAATCTGTCATGCCCAATTACTTTAGACTCCCATTCAATTCCTTTCCTACTCATACACACACCGGCCCCCTGGTTTCTTCTTTTTTCCTCAGTTTTTCTTGCTTAAGGGAGAAAGAAAAAAGTAAAGATTGATTTTTCTAGCTCTCTCATGTGTTCTTTTATTTTTGCATCCCTTGACTTCAGTCTCAGCCACTGTCAAACCTATTGCTAATTTCTTCCTTCCTTCCTTTCTGTTTGAGAACCCTTATTGCGTTTCTGTGTTTGTATTCTGAGGTTTTCTGAATTTTGACTAATTCTGACACCAACTTTCCCTCCCATGACATTCTACTGGGTGGGATAATTTATTGCAATGGCCATACTGACAAGACTCACAATTACAGGGCTTATTAGGGAAGTGGATGGAAAGAGATGATATGAGTGACTATTCATTAGCAGGAAAGTGCAGAATATACAGATAATTCATTTTTTGTACTATTAAGGCAGTAACGCTCTGCTCAGCATTTCCTCACTTCGCCCATCAGCAAATCCAGAACGAACCTTAGTCCGAAGGATCACCCCGGAGTCCCACCCCACTGCACTAGAGTGCTTTAGCCCCTGGCTACGCTTCCCAGGGTGGGTCCCTCCGGGCCAATCAGCGCGGGGGCGTAGTCCGGGGGCGGGGCTCCAGGCCCCAAGGCTGTGCTCTCCAGTTTCAGCTCGCCGGCAGCGTGCCCTGCTTCTTCCCGGTGTCTACTTTCCTAGTCCTTCCGTCGCTCTCTCCCGTACCGGGAACCCAGGCTAAGATATGGCCTCCTCTTCCGTGTCAGCGGCTACTCGAGGCCTCGGTCGGGTACCCCACCTCCTGCGGCGCGGCTACCAGACCGAGCGGGGAGTTTACGGCTATCGCCCAAGGAAAGCAGAAAACCGGGAGCCTCGGGCTGGCCTGGCATGCCCCACAGGTCGGCGAGCGCTGGGGGATGTGGCCCAGGCGTTTGGGGAAGGAGGAAAGGTCCGGTTGGGACGGCAAAGGATCTCCTGTCTGGCCTACGGTGGGGTAAACGGCCCGGAAGTATCCGCAGGCCCATGGGGATATAGTGGAGGCTGCCTGCAATCTCAGCTCCTTGTTTAGGATTGACCCGCTAAAGGAGGCGTGGGTGTTGTCAGTGTAGGGGGCACCCTCCCGTCCATCCTTTTTTATTGGGGACCATGGGGTTGGGGTCTCAGCGTAGGTTTCGCTTTTGGGATAGTTCCCCCACCGTCCATGTTAGACCCTGGTTTAGGGAGCTATTGTCTGTTCTGTTCGGTTAGTAAACTTGTGGGAATTTAGTGCTTTGCGTAGGCGGGGCTGTGTAGGAAAAGAAAAGTTACTAGATCTCACAGCTTTTCCAAGTAACACTAGGACACATTTCCAAGACCATCTCCAAAGCTTTTGTGCCTTGATAGGAAAGGCGTGAGCAACAGATGCTTGGGAGAAAGTGCAGTTAGTTCATGAACTTGGGTAACATCATAGTATTTATTTAGTTGTGTCCTAGTCCTAGTCTCCTTTATTGAACTTGGAACCAAATTACTGGTGGTTTTAATGGCTTAAGAGAAGTGAATATCAGTTTTTGGACATTCTCATATGATCGTTTGCAAGAGATAAATTCGAGTATTTGGTTTGTTTATATGCCAAAATTATCGTATCTTCATTCGTGTCTTCACAGAGCAGATAATGAATGCATGCTAATTATTAGAGAAAAATAATATGGCATCTTTTTTTATCCAATTATCAGACAGATACTTTAAAATCCCTTTCATCATCTAAGTATTGGACCTTTGAATCTCACATCACACACTGATACCTCAGTACTTTACTCTGCACCAAAGGGGGGATTTAGAATACATGTAATTTCTTTCTAATACAATGAGCTTCTCTAGGGAAAGTGTGTGTGTGTCAACTAAAGGAGTTCTTGGTGTGATACTGTAGGATAAGCACCAAGCTACTAACCACAAGTTTGGCGGTTCAAACCCACTAGCCGCTCCTAGGAAACCCTATAGAGGATTGACTATGAGTCGAACCAATTTACACTTAACAAAAACAAAGTGTAATCTTTACAAGATACGACTGAGTTTCTAATTCAACGTATGAGGTGAGGTCCACAAATGTTGTTGTTGTTGTTATGTGCCGTGGACGAGGTCCAGAAATAGGTACTTTTATCAGATTATCTCCTTCCTCAAGTGTTCTTTAGCAGAAGATGCATGACCATTCTTGGCCAAACAGTGTTATGTTGTTGTGAAGTGCTGTCCAGTCGGTTCCGAGCCATAGCGACCTTGTATAGGGTTTCCGAGGAGCCGCTGGTGAGCTTGAACCGCCGTCCTTGCAGTTCAAACGGCTTTGCAGTCTGGCACATTATCCCACAGCGTCACACCAAGACTGCAAGTGATATACTTTAAGTGTCCTCCAGTCGCCTTGTATAGGGTTTCAGAGGAGGAGCTGGCAAGCTTGAACCGTCGATATTGAGGTTCAGCGAGACCTTGCAGTCCAGCGCATTAACTTACAGCACCATACCAAGTGATGTAATTATTGTTAAGTACGGTCGAGTTGATTCTGACTCCTAGCAACTCTATATAAGGTTTCCGAGGACCGGCTGGTGAGTTTGAACCACTGATCTTGCAGTTCAAACCGATCTTACACTCTAGCACATTAATCCACAGCGCCACACCAGGACTCCAAGTGATATAATGAGGGGCTTCAAAGAGTGTGTGTGTGGGGGGGGGGAGTGTGGGAAAATGAGTTTGTTAGAAATATCTCTGATAGTTTCTTCATTTAAGATTATTTCAGCCAGTACTTAATGCACAGCTTTTGTGATCTTGCTTGATGTTTTACCTTACTCTTGAATCTCTATCTCATTCCTGTTAATACCGTGAAGGCTTGCCTTGAGAATTAAGGTTTACCTTAAAATTTACCTGGGCTCGTGGTTCTTTATCAATTGGAAGATTGTATCAGAATCATCTTGGGAGTTTGGGGCTGGTGTGGTTTGGAAAATAGCTATGAAATTGATTTTATATATAATCACCTCCCTGTCATTTATCATCAGATTGTTTACGCTATCTCTGTTAGCGAATTTACTTTGTTGTGGGGTATTTGGTGAAATTTGAAAGTTCTGTATTGAGTCAGAACTTTAAGCCAAGGGTATGGTCTTGTGTAGTGTTGGGAGAGAAGCAAAAAAAAAAAAATCTGTTGCAGGATCTGGCTTAAGGTATTTTATTATTAAGAGTATTAACTTTCTTTTCACTTTCCTAAGTTGCTTTGCTTTTTTGTTTTTTAAACTTTTTATTGTGAATTGAGTGAAGTTTACAGAGCAGATCATCAGTCCCACATTCAACAAATCATACACTGCATGTCATGATTGCAATCCGTCCATGTATCATCACTTACCAGTATTTACTTGTATTCCCTGGCACTCCTCCCTGTGTCTTCCACTACCTTCATCTTTCCTGCACCAATTTCCATTGTATTGTATATTGCCTTCCCCATCACCCAAGTTACCATGTATCTCCTTTCACCCAGTGAGTAATCTTCCCTTCTCTCCCACCTTTGGTAACATAGAATGTTTATTTTAGCAAGAAAACTTTTTTTTTAATTTGTTACGGTATTATCTTACAACATTTGACCTTTTGTGACTAATTTCACTCAGAATTATGTCTTCTGAGTTCATTTATGTTATGAGATGTTGCTCAGATTTGTCACTATTCTTCAGTGTTACATAGTATTCCATTGTGTGTATGTATCAAAGTTTATATCCAGTCTCCTACTTTCTGTTTCATGACTAGTACATTTAATTCATTTAAATTCAATGTAATTATTGACAAGTATGAATTAATTGCTGCTGTTTCGCTGTGTGTTTTTTGTGGTGTTGCTAGTTTCTTTGTTCCACA